GTAGTCCCAGCTATTTGGGAGGCTGAGGCAAAAGAATCGCTTAAGCCCAAGAGTGAGGTTGCTGTGAGCTGTGACGCCACAGCACTCTACCCAGGGTGACAGCTTGAGAGTCTGTCTCAAAAAAAAAAAAAAGTCAGGCCACCTAAGACCCTCTCCCAGCCATGACACACCCACTGAAAATCACTGCACTAGAGCAATCTCAGTAAGTACACATCAGATTTTCAAGGGAGAAGTAGTAAATTTCATTCAAAATTGTGAATGTCTGTCCCACTGTCTGAAACCAAGTAGCATCATCACCACACAAACAGCCAATCTCACCGTAGAACACTGGCCAACATATGGAGGCCTATTCTGAGAAGGGTGGAGGGAAGGCAGAAGCTTCCACAATGATGGAAAAGGCCAGTCAGCAGATGAACTGTGGCTAGGCAGACTGAAAACCAGAATTTGCTGTTTTACTTAATTTATTTAATTAATTTAAATGGCCAGAGGTGGCTAGTGGTTACTATGAGCAGTGTAGGTCTGGAACTTTAAAAACTAGATGGGGGCCAGATCACATCTCCCCTTACCTGGGAAACAAATAATTTGTGGAATTATACTTCTCTACTTCAAGAAAGCTTCTCTACACTTCTCTTAACGTTCCAGCATCTGCTCAAGCAATTGTTCAACACCGAGCTCCCTTTTGGTAATTACTACAACTACACATCAAGACACCTCCTAAACACCTCAGTTCAGAAGGCCCTCCGAAAGCCCCACTCAACCATCCATCCAAGGCAGGAAGCTTCCCAACATCTCTGCAGATGTCCACACAACTGTTCCCAACTTCTCCCAGGACCAATGATACTTAGCATTAGGAGAGGCAGTCCACCCCATGTCTCCCAAGAAATAGCAAGTGTGCACAAAATAATAAAAAACTATTTTGCACTGTCTCTTAGTTTTTATGCAGCCCTTTCACAGGCAAGTTCTTGTTTATGCCCCACAATAACTTTAGAATGTATTTTGTAAATACATTTATTTTACTGAGGCTGAGTGACTTCTCCAAGGCAATATGACTTATGTATTGGTAGCCATATACCCAAACTTGGCATGTTTTCTAAGTATCAAGAGACAACTGAGGGAAAGAAAAGTCATGATCAGGAAGGAGTCAGGCACAGAAGAGCAATTAGAGAATATAGTTACAGATATCAACGAATAACCTTAGAAATCAATCTATTTCAAACTCAGTCATTTGAAGATGAACAAACTCAGTTGTAAAGGGTAAGCATCTCAGGTTAGGTCTAATTTAAAGAGGAATATGCTCAGGCTTGGCACCTGTAGCTCAGCGGGTAGGGTGCTGGCCACATACACTGAAGCTGGCGGGTTCGAGTCCCACCAGGCCAGCTAAACCACAATGACAACTGCAACCAAAAATAGCCGGGCATTGTGGGGGGTGCTGATAGTCCCAGCTACCTGGGAGGATGAGGCAAAAGAATCAATTGAGCCCAAGAGTTTGAGATTGCTGTGAGCTGTGAGACACCATGGCACTCTACCAAGGGTGACAAAGTGAGACTCTGTCTAAAAAAATAAATAAATAAAAATAAAGAGTAATATGCTCAAAGAAAATTCTCAAACTGTGATCCCTGGATGAACAGCATCAGTGTGGATGAACAGCATCAGCGTCACTTGTAACTTGTTAGAAATGCAAGATTCCAGGCCCCAACCAAGACCCACTAAAACGGGGGGGG